TTATTTTTTTTTTTTTGTGTGAATGTTTTTTTTTTTAAAAAAAAAAAAAAAAAAAAAAAAAATTCGTAAGGTAAAGACAAAATAAATGTTTGGGTTAGTAGTGTAATGATGATGATGATGATGATGTATTATAATGGACAAACAAATATTTTCTATGATAATCATATATAATATAATGATGTGTTTATATATTATTGTAGAATGAAGAATGAGAGAAACAAAAATTCTAATACATTTTCATTACAGGTATGTTTTGTTTTTCTCCAATGATCAATATATTTTTTTCTTTGCCTCTTTTCTGTTGTAGTTGTTTTTTTTTTGAATATCCATCTCTGGTTTTTATTTTCGGATTCTGATTTTTTTCCACATATATGTCTATCATATACATTAGATTAATCTTGTATCGCATAACAAATCAATCATGTAATGTCTATATAAAAATATAAATAGAATCTTTATATATATATGGAGACCGGAACTTGATTATCCAAATAATTATATTATTATTAACTCTATGTTACATAATCATAGTTACCTATAGAAAACATAATATATAGTAGGTGGCTTGTCAAATGAATTTTTTTTTTGTTACCTGATTAGTTGGATTTGGATTTTTTTGCATGATATATTCATCATGAATGAATGAATAAACAAACAAACAAACAAACAAACAAGATTCTTTCACTAAAAAAAAACAAAAACTCTTTCACCCATCATTGATGATGATCATCATCATCATAAAAATTTGAATAATTATTTATATACATTATTTATTTAAATAAAATTATGACATATATAAAAAAAATGTCAACCAACAAAATCAATCATTCGGTAGTCAGGAAAAAAAACACGCACACACAAGGGTGTGTACTATTTTTATCATTTAATTAGAGTAAATGTGAATGAAAATAATATCAATTTAATTCAATACAATGTTAATGATTTTCTTTTTTGGAAATTCTCATTTTTTTTGTGAAACTAGGCTTTTTTCTATGAATCAAAAATGAATAGAATCCAGATTTTTTGAATCATGAAGAAAAAAGCCATAGTTTTTTTTACCAATAATAAATATCAAGGTAAATTTATTTTTACAACAAACAAACAAAAAAAAAAACTTAAAATAGTCGGTCTCGTTCTTTGTTTTTAAATTTCATTTTATTTTTTAATTATTTTTTTTCATTTCTTTTCCTGGATTAATTTCGCAATTTTTCTCAAAACACACATTATCAATATCACTTCTATTTTGGTTTCACTAGAAGTTTAGACATTTTCATTGTGTTCATTCTAATGATAATATCCCGCGAGGGGTAGAGTGCTTGTTTTACAATAATTAAAAATTTGTTTTATCAGCAGAATATTCTGGCTCCTGTAGCCAAAAAAAAAAAAAAAAAAAAAAAAAAAAAAAAAAAAAAAAAAAACCAAATTTTTCCGGTTTTTTTTTTTTTTTTCCCCCCTAAAAAATTNAAAAACTCTTTCACCCATCATTGATGATGATCATCATCATCATAAAAATTTGAATAATTATTTATATACATTATTTATTGAAATAAAATTATGACATATATTTAAAAAAAAAATGTCAACCAACAAATCAATCATTCGGTAGTCAGGAAAAAAAACACGCACACACAAGGGTGTGTACTATTTTTATCATTTAATTAGAGTAAATGTGAGTGAAAATAATATCAATTTGATTCAATACAATGTTAATGATTTTCTTTTTTGGAAATTCTCATTTTTTAGTGAAACAAAGCCTAGTTTCTATGAATCAAAAATGAATAGAATCCAGAATTTTTGAATCATGAAGAAAAAAGCCATTGTTTTTTTTACCAATGATAAATATCAAGGTAAATTTATTTTTACAACAAACAAACAAAAAAACTGAAAATAGTCGGTCTCGTTCTTTGTTTTTAAATTTCATTTTATTTTTTTTTCATTTTTTTCCTGGATTAATTTTGCAATTTTTCTCAACACACATTATCAATATCACTTCTATTTTGGTTTCACGAGAAGTTTCGAAATTTTCATTGTGTTCATTTTAATGATAATATCCCGAGAGGGTAGAGTGCTTCTTCTTTTAAAATAATTAAAAATTTGTTTCATCAGCAGAATATTCTGGCTCCTGCAGCCAAAAAACAAAAAACAAACAAAGAAACAAAACAAACAACCAATTATTGAGTTTTTCTTTTTAATTGAAAATTACAGATTTTCCAAATATACTAGAACAAATTGACTAAAATAAAGTTGATAATAATTAATCAATTATATTCATTATGAAAAGAAAATTTTGCATAGAACAATTTCCACATTGATATTTTGTTTTATCATGTTTAATAAAACAAAACCGAAACATGTCATTTCCATATATTCTCACTTTATCTCTCTTTATACTTCAAATACACGTTATCGATGTTATTTACAAAATATCGTTCATTTATTGTTGTTGTTGTCTTTATCTGTTCGATCATGATTCACATTTAGGTTAAATAGCATTGATCCGGAACTTAACCACATCCAAAAAACTAACAAAAAAACACGCACACAAACAAACACAATGCATATGTGAATAATATAGCTATTGGAAATAATACCTATTGTTTTCTGTTGGTTGTTGCTATTTTTGTTATTGTTGTTTAATAGATGTTTGTTTTTCTATTATTATTTCCCAATGTGAATTTTCCGTTGTTTTTGTTTCGGGGAGGGGGAGAAGGGTTTTTGTTTTGTGATAGGGAATCAATTTTTTTTTTTGATCATAATTTATTTCAAACTATATAAAAGGTGTTATTTACGATCTATGTATTCTCTCATTCACTTTGTGTATGTTTGTATGTTCATCCTTGAATGATGACGATGACGATGATGATAATAATGATAATAATAATGAAATTAAAATACAAATGGCAAACCTTTACAGAATTGAAAAAAAATTGGGTTATATAATAATAATAACAAATAGCAAGTCAATAAATAAACAAATAACGATAAACATGAAGGAATTTTTTTTTGTTTCGCAAGCTAAATTGATCGATTTTCTGGTTCGGGTTTGTTTGTTTGTTTTTTTTTTTGCTCCTTTTTTCCTCATTCAATCTATCCATCCATAATGATCATCGATGATGATAAAACATAATTTTTCGTAATAGAAATTGATAATAAAGTCGCCCATTTTTATTATCATCATTTTTTTCTGCTGTTGTTGTTGTTGTTGTTATTTCCGATAAAAATAGAATTTTTTTTCTTGTATTTTTTTTCTGGAATTTGTTTTTCAAATTTTTATCCATCGGTTTAAGTTAATTTGATTATTATGTTAACTTTGAGAATAAAAAAATTTTCAATTTTGTCTGTTTTGTTTTTTCATTATATTTTTAAAAAAAAACTTAAATAACAGAATGTCCAAGTTCAGAAAATGGTATGGATCGTTTTGCCTGTCCAACTCGTGATGAATTGGGTAGATTTTTATGTATCGATGATCAACATATATGCGATGGTTATTTTGATTGTCCACATGGTGAAGATGAAGAACGTTTAAGCTGTATGTTTTATAAAAGTGTAAGTATTATGATTTCAGATCAATTTTGATTCTGATTGATTCTCATCATCATGATTGAATAATTTGTTTTTTTTTCTAAATTTTTATTGTTTTTTTTTAAATAGACAAAAGCACATCTTGATGTTCTTGCTGATTATCTATTACAATGGGCTCGTGGACAACAGAATCTGTAATTAATTAATTAATTATTTTTTTTTTGATTGATTTAACAATTTTTTAAATTAATTAATTAATATCAATTTTTAATTTTGTTTTGATTCTTATTCGTTTTTTTTCTAGTTAAACTAAAACGAAAACTAGATTGATCATTCAACTTACATTCATCATCATCATTTGGATTCATTCATTCTATTCTGTTTTTTTTCAATTTTTATTTCACTCCCCTCGAAAATAACTCAACAATAAAGGAAAAAAAACTTTCCAATTCTACAATGTGACATCAATTCATGTTAATCATCATTGAAATTTTCCATCAATCCATTGTCAATCCATTGCCATTCAAATATCAATTTTCTTTTTACATTATATTCCAACATTAGTAATTCCGAAAATTCAATTGTTTTAGATCGAAAAATACAATTCGATTTAATTCTAGGAAAAAAAATGTTATTCCAGATTTTTCCAGACTACCACCACTATATCATCAAATAAAGTTTATTTTTTTATACAAACAAAACAAATAAGAAAAAAAAACAACAACAAAAAAATAAAATGAAACTCGACCAAACATTTCTTTTTTTTCACCCTTTCCACCAATTCAATCCACTTCCTTATCTATCTTCCGAATCCAAATAAATAGTTTACACCTTTGTTTATTGTCTATCCGTTTCAATCGAATGTCATTGATATTTGAATTATTCAGTAAAAAAAATTCCTTCTTTTTCAATTAGAATTTTCTTATTAATTTAACAATGGAAAAGTTTTTAAAATATTTAATAAATAAATAAAAAATCCAAACAAACACATACAAAGTATATTTTTATATCTTTGATTTTCATTTCTCTATACTTTATAGCAGAACATACATTCCTTATATCTTCAACAATCAATCAATCAATTAATCAATCGATCGACAATCTTGAAACATCATTTAATAATTTGCACGTGTGTGTGTTTTTTTTTCATTATATCATTCCAACAACCAAACAAACTACAGTATGCTATACCTATGGACTAAAAAATAACTTTCATCATCATCATCATCATCCTCATCATCATTGTCATCATCGTTATTATTATCATATCGAATTGTTGAAATGCTCAAAATATTTCAACAATTTGATTCTCTCTCTCTCTCTCTCTCTCTCTCTCTCTCTCTCTCTCTCTATCTCTTTATATATATATAAACACACACATCGTCACCCATNCTCATCATCATTGTCATCATCGTTATTATTATCATATCGAATTGTTGAAATGCTCAAAATATTTCAACAATTTGATTCTCTCTCTCTCTCTCTCTCTCTCTCTCTCTCTCTCTCTCTCTCTACCTTTTTATAAATATAAATAACAAAAACAAAACAAAATAAAAAAATTTGAAAAAAAACCATACCATTTGTCATGTTATGTCATTTTTTCATTTTATTTTCTTTATGTGTTTGTCGCAATTTATTAGAAATAAATGATAAAATTAATTTGATACTTTGACATTCTTTTTTGTTTCAAATATTCACTGTTATTCATTGTTATTGTTCATTCCGGGAAAAAAAACATCTTTCCATCTTTCTTTTATTTTCACATCATCATCATAATAAATATCAACTGACATTGTCATCAATTGATTTTATGAAAAAGTTAATTCTAACTGGCTAACAACCATCACAAACAACCCAATAACAACCATAACAAAACATTTCCTAAATTACCTCTTTATTCAATGATGAATGAAAAAGAGAAAGAGAGAGAGAGAGAGAGAAAAAAAACGTATTTTGTTATATAAACACAACCGAAACGAAACAACAACAAAAACAAAAAATAAACGAAATTTGACATTTACGAATGTAAACAAAACAAAAAAAAAGTTTCAGAAAAGTATATTACGATATTATTGTTATAAATATATATACGACGACCACGGCGGTCGAATATCTCTCTCTCTCTCTCTCTTTTGAAAACCTTTTGTCCAATTTAAGTCATTAATAAAATAGTTTCGGCAAAATTCGAGAATTTTCATTTAATCAAAATTTAAAAAAGAATGATTAAATCTTTTCATAATTGGCATAACCAAAATAAAAATAAGAACCAATCAAACTAAATAATGATAATTATCTTATTTTTAAATAATAAAATAGGTAAAAATGGTTCGTTTTCCAAGAATTTTCCATTGGAATCAATAATATTTGGCATTTAAAAATAAAAACTTTGACATTTCGATAAAGTTTTCAATTTTCTAAATCATTTTCTTTAAAGTTTTTTTTTCAAGAAAAATCAAATTTAAATATACAATTTTTATATGGCCACTTGATGGCACCACTGTAATGATTATCTAACAATGTCGACAATGTTTTTCGTTGCTGATGATGATGATGATTATGATCAAATTGATCGGATAAAAGATAACAATAAAATTAATTTTCTTAAGAATGCATAGTTTTTGTTTTGTAATTTTTTTAAAATAAATTCTTTTGTAAAAAAAAATGAATGAATCATCATTTACAAGATGCAATTTACATTTAATATGTAAAACAGCGAAACAAACACTTACATGACAAGATGTCAATCAAATTTTTGCGAATAAAAAAAACAGAATAAAATGAAATCATTCATTTTGGAGAAAGAAAAAAAATGTTTTTGAATGAAATTGATTTATACTATGTATCCATTCTAATTCTCTCATCAGAATTATGCATTTTTCTACTGTTGCTGCTGCTGTATGATTTTCATTCTTTTTTTTTGTATTTTAATTCTGTTGTTGGCTTTGAAATCTTTGAAAATAAAATTGTTGAAATGTTTTTTTTTCTCGTATATATTCATCATTTTATTTCATTCTTTTTTCTTCATTGGTATTGAATTATTCAACAGCCGAATGAAAGTGAATTATTACAATGAAATGAAATGAAAAAGAGAAAAACGGAATGATTCATTTTGTTATCAACGATATTTTAGTTTGGATTTTTTTTTTGTAAAGTATATTGCTATTATTCTGGTTGCATTTTTGTTGTTACAATAGTTTATTGCACGTCCGAATTTGAAATATTTTGAAAAAAACTATTTTCTTCATTTACATTCATGAATTTTGATTCGAGCTGATTTTTGGGCCAACTAATACTGATGAAAGATTGTTGTTGTTTTGGTAGTGGAAATTTTTGAATTCCGAATGAAAAAAATGACCAATTTAATAGTGAAAATTAAATTTCTAAATTTCTCCTTCTCTCTCTCACACACACACACACACACTAATTGCTCATATTGAATAATTGAAAATACCAATGTTTTTTAAAACTAAACAAACAAACAAAATTGAATTAAATCAACAACAACAAAAAAAAAACATGGATAAAGATCTTCTTGATTATTCGAATGGATGGATTGTTTCTTTTTTTTTGCAAATATTTACCATCTAGTTTTGCCAGGATATTTTTTTTCATTGTTTCTGTTGATTTTGTTGATTCGGTTCGTTCAAATGAATAATTCAAATATTTGTTATTATCTTTAAACAGGAGATAAATGGGAAAAAAAGACTACAATTTTTTTTTCAATATTCCGGTCAAAATAAATTATGAATCGGAGATTGAATTTTGTGAACTTATTTTTTTGTTTGTTATCTCGCTGGTCTAGGATTTAAAATTTTTCCTGATAACGAACAAAAAAAATTCAATTCATCCAGTATAAATACTCCCTTTTTACACACCTCTTTTTATTTATTTATTCAATACCAGTATCTTCATCATCATTGAGCTGTCAGTTAGGCGAGAAATTCTTTAAAGAAAGAAAACTTTAATTCAAACTTTTTTTTTAAAAAAAAGCTCAACTAATTCTCAATGAACATTATCGAAGTGAGACATTGCAAGCGTTGTTGGGGTTGAGGAGAGGGGGAAATGGATAAATCAAAGCCAACAACATAGTTGTTGTTGTTGAAAATACTGCAAGCAGAAATTTATATCTTTTTCAACATTTACTTTTTTCTGTTGCTTCTTTAAAAACGATATTCTTTTTTTGTTGTTGCTGTCAAAATATATAAAGAAATAATGTGATCAACACAACAACAAGATAAACAACAAATTTACGACGACAGAATATTTAAAAAAACGAATTGCGAAGGGAAAAACAAAAATTTCACTTGGTTTATTTCATTTGAAAATACTTTATTTTAAATGTTTTTTTTTTGCTTTTAGAATTCGGCACTTGAATTAAAGAAAACAAAACAATTAAGATGTGTCAGAATTGTAATTATTTTAAGTGAAAAATAGATAAATAAAAAACACAGAAAAAAAATCAGAACAGACATTCATATAAACGACGAAATCATATACCCGAAAATTGTTTTTATTATATATAAAAAAAAAATCAATCGATCCGGCTAACCGGATTCGATTTGCAATCATCATCATCATCATTGGCTTGAAGATCTCATCATGTTTCTTTCTTTAATTACTGTCATTCCTTTTTCTTTCAACGATTAATTTTTTTCTTTCAAACAACATTGAAATTCTATTTTTCCAATCAATTTCATTTAACTTTATATTTTTGCTTGTTTGTTTGTTTTTCTATAAATAATTTTTCATTCTACTAATCACCTTTTTTAATGAATTTTTCTTGATTAGAAAATTTAAAGATCAATTTAAAATTGTTTTTTTTCAATTTATTTTTTTAAAAATGATGATTCAATTCGATTTAAATTCTTATCGTCCATATTGTTATCCACTTTCAACTAATATGCCACAAGGTATATGAGATCTACGTGTATTTTATTTATATTTTGCGTTGTTTTAATTATAAATTTTCCCCCAATTTTTCAAATTTTTTTTCTATTTGTTTGTTTTTTATCATGATTTTCATTTATTTTTAATTTATTCGAATTCAATAGCCGATTATAATATTGATCAAAATCATCTACCTTCGAATTCAAGTAACAGTAGTAACAGTAGTGGTGGTGGGTGTTGTTGTTCAAATAATTGTGTAGGAAATGGAAAAAATATTAATCAACTAACTAATCTGATTAGATCGCCACCATTACTACTACAACCTCAATCATCATCATCATCATTACAACGACAAGAATTAAAACAATCAAAAAGAATGGTATTGAAAAGTTCTTTTCCAAAACATATATTATATTATAGAATAATTGGACCATTAACAATGGTAAGTTATAATTTTTGTAAAATAAATAAATTAATTAAAATCTAATCAAATTAATTTAATCATATTTTTTTTAAAAAAATCAATAGCTAATGATAATAGTATCAATATTGATATTAATTTCACAAAAATGTACAAAAACACAATCAATTACATCGGAATGGAAACAACAACAATTAATGATGATAACCGATCAAAATCAACAAGAACAAATGATTAGTAATTTGATTAGCCGATTTTTTCTTAAATTATATATTCTACATTCAATATCATTATTATGTATTTCATTAATTATTCTTTATTGTTTTATTGATTTTGTACCAAAACAAAATGTTGATCATAAATATATATTTCATTTTATCGTAAGTATAAATATTCATTAGTTAATAATAATAATGATAATAAAATAATTAACAACTTTTTTTCTCATCTCTATTCTCCATCATCATCATCAGTCAATAATCATAGTATTCATTGTTAGCATATCGACATTATATGCATCATATATTGCATATGAACGACCAAAATGTTTATCAACAAATGCGCAAATATGCTGTAAGGTGAATGATTCAAATGGTTTTTGGAATTCGATTGATGATAATGATAAAAAATCTCATACATCTATCAATATTAATGAAATATTAATGATTACAATTATGATTTTAAATCTATTTACATCAATCATAATGATGATGACAACTATTATCTATTTTTATGATGTACGACAAGATGCAATCAAATGTGGTTATCTAAATCGTGTTCATAATGAAAATTATATTGTTCGTTAATATGAATCTTTTTGGAATTTATTTATTTTATGTTTTGATTTTTGCTTTTCTATTTTACATTGAATTGTATTTTATTTTCTTATAAATCTGTTGTTGTTGATAACGGAATTTTTATTTTTTTAAAAAATGATAATAATAATAATAAAGATTGGGATAATATTTTATTCTTTAATACAAAAATTAAAAATTTATCAAATCAAATTTAATTTAATTGTTAGTTAAATTCGATTGTTGTTGCGATGTTGATGTTGTAGCAGCATTTCGCATCATCTATATTAAACAAAAAATTATAATTATAATTTGGACAAATGAAAATTAATGATTGGCCTTACATTGAACAACATTTTTGGTCCAACATATTGACTAAACATTGAACTAGTATAATTACTGGCCATTGTTGCTGCATTTGTTTCACCACCACCAAAACGGCAACGAATATAGCCATAGGAATTTGAACCGCTCAATACCAAGCCAATACCAACTAAAAGCTTGAAAAAAAATTCATTAAAAATTGTTGAAAAAAAGAATCATCATTAACATTAAATTTACCACCCAATGAATGTTGAATGAAAATATTGCTGAAATAAGTGAAAAGAACCAGAATATAGTGAATAAAAATAATCCGATCCAAAAAACGGTAGAATCCGAACCACCACTTAACTTTTGTGATTGTGATTCATTAGATTGTTGCTGCTGCTGTTGTTGTTGATTAAATAATATAAATTCGACATCATTAGAAGTGCCGGGCTTTTGTACATTTGTATTATCATTTTTCGATTGTGATTGATTACGATTTTCAAACATCCAATGTGATTGTCCATCATCATCGATATAATTCCACCAACGTAAACCGACCAATAAACGACCAGTAATATTTTTTACAAGCCAAAAATCCAATGAGATCAAAAATACTAGAATAACAAATACACCGAGAAAATCCTGTGCAAATATTGAACCAAATAAATAGATAAATATTGCACCAATCTTGAATATTAGATGAAAGGCAACAGCCCATGGATGTCTATAAAAATTAAAGATAAAGATTGATAATTATCTAAAGGATTGAGTAATGAAAAAAAACGAACCGAAATTTAGGTTTTATCGAAACATTATTATCGTTAACAACACCGAATGTACCATCCTGACTGAATCCATAGCCACCGGCATTTTCAACACCCGTTGGACGTGATTTATTCTGTCCCATATGTAATGATTAGGAAATTTTTATTTCATAAGCATATACGAATAAGAATCCAGAATAAAAATCAATCAATAAAAAAAAAATCATTGAAATTAGAGAAAAAGCACTTCAAAAAATGTACAGGTGAGCAACAACAGCACACCGTTCATTGATCAAACAAAAAAAAACATGGACAATACCACCATCTAGTAGATGAAATATAAAACTTTTAATTTTTGAATTATAATCTTGTTTTTTTTTAAATCATAAAATAAAAAATAAGTATACTTTTGACATTTTAAGCACAATGTTTATTTAAAGAATTTGACATTTCATTGTTGTTTTTATTTAAAATGTCGAAATTCTGACGAATACCTTTTGGAAATTCAATAAATGATGGCAATGGTCGTTCATCATAACTATCATCATCATCATCATCATCGACAACATTATCATTTTCATCATCGGGCAAATGTTGATCAATTTGTTTGTGCTCTTCTTTGCATTTTAAATAGCTACAAATTCGATTGTATGAACATTCAACAATATTTCCAATTCCATTGATAATTTGATTTCTATCTATTACAGATTCTATTCGACTACGATTGTCATTATTATCAAAATCATCATTATTCGACCAATTAATAAATGAATTTAAAAATGATGCTCGCTGTTTATCGGTTGTTGGGCTTGGATTTTCATGTATATCAACATAAATTACAGTTGGTCGTTGTTCAAAAGAAACATGTTTTGGATTTCTTTGTGGTTTTAGTTGATTCATTTCAAAATCACCATTCAGTGATGAACAAGTTGCACCTGTTGATAAATGAATGGTTGATGGTTCTGGAAAAATATTTTCGATTTTTGATATTTGTTGTTGTCGCTTTAGTGAATTCATTTCAAGATTAATACTTGAATATTCATTTCGAGAAAATTTAAGAATACCACCATTTGGTGTTGAGCAAGGTGCACCCGCAAAATGAATAGTCGATGTTTCGGAGATAATATCTGTTGGTCGTTGTTCCATATAGAATTCATCATCATCATCATCATCTAATATAAATCTACCTAATCGACAATGTTCTGCCATTGCTGTTATTTCTGTTCGTTTTGATGTCTTTAACGCTATTCAAAAAAAAAACAAAGTATAATGAGATGAACAATGAAAAATAAAAAACAAATAAAGACATTTTATGAGCAGCAGGTTGATTTATTGAAAAATTTACCTCGAAGATAATAGAATGATAATGCTAACAGAATGACACAAATAATCAATGTTGCAAATATTAAGATGTCCATTGTTACTAGAATGTAATAATAATTAAAACAGGAAAATAGAATAAAAATAATTATAATAATTAATTAATTGATTTATTAATTTTTGTAGATTTTACATTCAAAAAAGATTTTCGCTCTCACACACTATCTAAACATATAATTTAAGAATAAAATGCCTATGGAAATATGGAATAGGAACAAGTTTGTTTGTTGATTTTTTTTTGGCTTTGCTTTGCTCTTATCTCATATTTTCCTGTGTATTAATCATTGAATATTAATGTAAATAAATAACAAACAATCTGAATTGTCCATTGTATCAATTAAAATGGATTTTTTAGTAGTTTTTTCTCGAATAATAACATTATTATTGATGATTGATGTAAGAGAAGTTAAATTTTCCATAATGGAAAATTACAATGATTATTTTTCAAAAAAAAAACTAAATGTTTGTAGATTTATTAAAATTTATGATTCTGATTCAATTCGATGAGAATGAACATTGAAAACAACAACAACAAAAAAAAACAAACAAATATTTTCGAAATGGAATGAATTTTTTTTTTTTTTTTTTTTTTTTTTTTTTAACCCCCGTTTTATTTTTTAATAATTTTCAAAAAAAAAAAAAAAAAAAAAAAAAAAAAAAAATTTTTGAAAAGGGAAGAATTTTTTTTTTTTTTTTTTTTTTTTTTGTTACACACCGTTTGATATTTCAATAATTTCGAATCAAATGAATCGGATCGAACGAATATGTTGGTGTGTGTGTGTGTTTCGTATTCGAATTTCTATTCGATTTTTTTTTTCGAATTCGATATGTTCATAGACGACGTGTTTGAATAATTTTTTTTTTTTGAAAAGGAATTGCTAACAAGAAAAAAATTTTATTCTTCAACTATATGATCATTGTGAATGTTGGTAGTACAGTTATTTTTAGAACAAATCATCCACCCAATCATAAATCTGATATGCTACACAATAACCAAAGACAATATGAATAAAAATAACATCAAACGAAGACGACGACGAAACAAACAAACAAAAATCCATGCTGAATCCAATGTATTCAATTAATTAATAATGAAAATATAATCGATTTGATTAAATTATTATCAATTTTTTTGTTGTTATTCTTAAGATTTTAAAAATAATTAATGATTGATTATGAGTAGACGAACAAATCGTTCACATCGTTCATCTTTATCACCTTATTCATCACCATTTTCATCATCATTTTCGTCATCATCATCATTATCATCAGGTTTTAATAATGGAAATAATTGGCTTAAATTTTCCAATACATCGGTTACATGGGCACGTTCAAGACAACAACGATCAGATTCACAGATGGCACAGAATTCTGCTGGAAATATTGATACAATTCGACGAAGAAAAATTTTCAATTCATCCACTGAATTTATTCATGTTGTTAGTCTTATCATAATGAGTAAGTTTTTTTTTGTTTGATAATTAATTTGTTAATTTTTTGATAAATAATTGAATAGGTCTTTGTCGTCAGATAATAAATCGTTCATTGTTACAAAGACGAATAATAATTTATCTATTTCTTATATTTATCGGTGGCTTACTAAAAGATTTTGCATCATTAATAATTCGTGCATTTATAATTTCTTTATCTCCTGAACATTTTTTAAATCAATATTTTGTTAAATTAGCATGGTTTTGGAATATGATTCTATTAGTACCATTGATCATGTTATCAAGTTCAACATTATGTTTACTTGATTCAATACAATTGACTGAAGTGGATAAATCTATTGAAGATTATCATCAACGTAAAATCAATTCAACAACAATAAACAATAAATCGATTATAAATTCATCATTACAAACAAATGAAACTGGTTCAAACAAACAGACACCAAACATTATAACATTACAATCATTATGTCAGAATCAAAATCGATCACAATTGTTAATTGAACAATATAAACAAGCAATACTTGAACAGGCTGATCAATGTCGACAATGTCAACGTTATTCATTACGTTGGTTTGGTTATACGGCAAAGAAAATTATTCAAATTGCTTGGGTAAAAGATTTGATTCGTATCATAATTTGTAGTGCTTTCTATTTAGCATCGATTTCATTATTTACTATGATACAATTTTCAACCACTCGAAATCGATCATTATCAAATGGTAAATTATTGAAAATTTGAAATTTTGTTGATCAATATGTGATAATGATAATATTTAAAAAATTTTCCAATATATTTTCAATAACAGAATTGGCAACCGTATCACAGGTGAATGTTATATCAAATGGTTTTGATATATCTGGCCATATATTTATATTGATTTTTTCAAATCTAATGATCATTGAAGAATGTACAATAATGACTGGTTGGGAACCACTTGGTGATCGTCTCTATGCATTAAGTGTTGAATTTATGAATATAGTGATTGGATCACAACAAACAATATTGATAGCAAATAATATTGAAATGAATCGAAAATTATTTCTGTCGTGGTCACGTTATCGTTCACATAGTCAAAAATTACGTCTTTTATTTTTATCCATTACATTATTATCAATTATATGGGATTTTATGATAATTCAGACAATATTTTTCTATCATAGTCTTATTGAGAAATTAATTGCTATGTTATGGGCATTTATTAGTTGGTATGTTTGTTATCAATTTTTATTTCCATTATTAAACATTAAAGTAAGACGTGTTTCGATCGCTATTGGTCAGAATTCAAATTCGACAACTACTTCAACATAAAACATGAAACTTTAAAAATCATTTATTTTTACCCTAAATTCTTCTCACTTACTCTTGTTTTAAAAGTTAAATGAATAAAATTCAAAATAAATTCTGATTAACAACACTAGATGGCCGAAAATTCTATTCTATTTCGAGACAAATTGTCAACATGAGTGTTAATTGATATTTGTTTATGTATACATGTCAATGTGTGTGTTTGTAATAAAGGTGTTCATATTTCAATTGGCGTTGTCATTCAGCATATGAATTTTATTGAAAAAATTGATTCTTTAAATAAAATTATTACAGTTATTCCATACTTGTTTTGATAAGTTGAATTTTTTTTTGTGTGGCCTTCATTATTTATTTCATCATATTTTATTTAAATAATTTTTTTCATCTGTATCTGAATTTCTACGAAAAAAAAAATTCTTTTTCCAACAGGTTGTCAATTTGAATAATTAGGAAAAGAAATATGTTGATGCCTTGTATTGCAACATTACAACAATTATTAGAATCTACGAGATTTTTTCTCGTAATTCATGCTTTAGCCATTGCCATTGGTATATGGTATTGGTTTAGGTATCGTTCAAATTCTAAACGTCGTCATCAGAATCGTCAATTAACACCTGAGGTGAATATTTATGTGATTATAAATAATAATCTTCATCATTTTTGTTGTAAAATACAATTAATAGGAATTGGAAAAGATACAATCTTGGCAACCGGAACCATTAGTACCTTATTATGATCATAGCCATTTTGCATTGAATCCCAAAATCATATCATCGATGTATGGCAAATATTTAATTGTTAATGATAAAAAATGTTTGAATTTAGCTACACATAATTATCTTGGCCTTGCTGAAGATCGTGATTGTATTGATGAAGCCGTAAAAGCGGTAAAGAAATACGGTGTTGGTAGTTGTGGTCCACGTGGATTTTTCGGCACTGTAGGTAATGAATATAATTAAACATTGTTTAATTGATTAATTCAAAAAAAAATCATTAATTTAAATTCGACAGATATTCATTTGACATTGGAACAGGAAATAGCCCGTTTTATGCAGACTGAAGAGGCTATACTTTATTCATATGGTTATGCAGCTATTTCAAGTGCCATTCCTGCCTATTCAAAATCAAACGATATTATTTTTGTGTAAGTCTAATCATTTACCATCGATCGGTAATTGTTTTTTTCAACATTTTTTTAATAAATCAATTTCATCAAAAAAAACCAATCCAAAAAAAGTGATGAAGCGGTAAATTTTGCCATCCAACAAGGTCTGATTGCATCTCGATCTCGAATCAAATTTTTCAAACATAATGACACGAAAGATTTAGAACGATTATTGGATGATCAATCGGAATGGGATTTAAAAAATCCTAAAGAAGCAAAACGAATTTCACGTTTTATGATAGTTGAAGGTTTATACATCAATACTGGTAATATTTGTCCATTGGCCGAAATAGTAATTGACAACCATGCAAAATGATTTTTTTTTTTAATAATATTAATTATTTATTGTTATTACCGTTTGTTTTCAGATTCGATTAAAACGTAAACATAAAGTTCGTTTATTTATCGATGATACCTGTTCATTTGGTGTACTTGGTAAACATGGTCGTGGTATTGTTGAACACAGTGGTTGTAGTTTAGATGATGTCGATATGATTGCCGCTAGTCTTGAATATGCATGTGCTTCATATGGTGGTTTCTGTACCGGTACCATATTTGTTATCGATCATCAACGTCTTTCCGGTTTAGGTTATTGTTTCAGTGCATCATTACCACCATTACAGGCGGCATATGCATTAAAAGCTATTGAAAAGATACAAAAAACACCTGAATTATTGGTTCAATTACGTAATAATTGTGTTCGAATTGATGAATTATTACGTTCTCATCAATCATTAATTACCATAAATGGATTAGATATTTCGCCAATTAAACATCTTCGTTTTACTCGTACTATAGATGAATGGCTTAATGATAAACGTTGTCCCGATTATGATGATCAAATTAATAATTTAATGACAAATCCTAGTTCAAATGATAAAATTTCAATTTCCCATAAATTGGATACAATGCGATTAGAAAAAGTTGTCGACTGTGTATGTTATGAAAATCATTTTAAAAACTTTGAAACAAAATCATTTTTTCTATATTTTTGTTATTATTCGTTAGGCATACAATCGTGGTTATGGTTTAACTGTTGCTCGTTATCTTGAACATGCTGAATATAAACTTCAAAATCCAAGTATTCGTTTAATTATTAATTCATTATTAACTGGCCAAGAATTAGAATCAATATCCATTATGCTAATTGAAACATTTGAAGAAGTTGAAAAAATATTTTTCAATGGAAAATTTTTCAACATATCATCAGATGATGAACAAACAAACAAATGAATGATTGTATAAATGAATCGATCAATCAAAAACCGAATGAAACCAACCCAGTGACACACAAACACAAACAAAAATTATTCAATATATTCAATCAAGTATTACAATTATTTTATTCTCTAATTATTCCATCTATAATAACAATCATGAATTATTTCTAGAATTATTTTCTATTATATATTCTTCAATATATTATTAATTTGTGCTGCCTTGTATTAATAATTATATAATTATCACTTGATTTTATATATTCACCAATCATGAACACTTTTAAAAAAATTTTTGATCAAAAAACAAAACAAAAAATTAATTAATTAATTAAATTCAATAAAACATTTTGCTTGAAAAACAATCAATTTGATATCAATAAACCATCATCATTATCATTTTTTTTCATGCGTTTAGCTGTGAAAAAGAAAATCGGTATTACATAAGTATGCGTGTTTTTGCAACAACAACAACAACAAAAAATCGTGCAAACAATTAAGAAAATATTTGCAAAATATTTCGGTACATCGTTCATTTTTTTTCTTTGCAAACTGATTGTGTGACCACAATCATATATCTTGTTGTCAACAAGGATAGTAAAAAAAAATAAATTATTATTTTCAATATGATGGTGATGTTGATCATATTTTATCGATTATATTTATTATTTATTATGATTATGATAATGACTAAATTATCAGTTCCTTGTCTTCGTTGTTTATCAGTTCCTGTCGAAAATTTTCACTTTTCTTCGGTTTTCATCATCATCATCTTTTTTTTTTTGGTAAAATCATCATATCCGATTATATAATTACAGCAAACTGAAAAAAATACCAAAAAGAAGATAAACAAAACAAAAAAAAATCCAATCGTTTTACTTTTACTTTACTTATCCTACGAAAAGATCACGATTAGATTTGGTGGTAAGTTTTTTTTGAAGCTGGAAAAATTTCTTTTTCTTTCTTTTTTTTTTTTTGTTTCATTCAATCGATTACATCAATCTGGTTTTGATTTCTAATTTTTTTTTTTTGATTTTTTCTAACACAATCAGTCATTTATCATCACTACCGTTTTTTTTCATTCATTCATTCATTCACTGTCGTTGAATTATGATGTTTTAGACATCTTTTTGTTTTGTTTTCTTTGAATTAGTCAATTTTCGGCAATATAATGATGATTTATATTAAATGGAGAAAAAAAGAAAGGAAATTTTTTTTTTCGGATGTCGGTTTTAGCACATGATGATGATGATGATGATGAGAATAGGATGGGAAAAATCTATTGATGATGATGGTGATGATGATGGTATGAAGAAGAGAAAGTGTTGTCCTCTATATCCTCCTGTTCAATTTTGTCCATTATTAACGGGTTAATCATCATCATCATCATGCGGTATACGGGTATGTCGATTGTTTGTATTGAGAGAGTATCATCGATAGTTTCATCAATTTCTTTTCTTTTTTCTCATCTATCTCATTCAATCATCAGTAGGTTTATCATCATCATCATCATCAAGAACATTTTGTCAATATGATCAGATCAATAATAAAGATTTGATCGATGGATCTCAAACATCTATTCTATTCATCCTATATCCAATAGATAGCTGTTCAAGTCAACAAAAAAAAAGGATTTTTTTTTTGCCAAACAAACAATAGAAAAAGAATGGAAAAAAACCCGTAAAGTTTTTCTTTCTGCAAAAAAAGTTTTCTTTGCGATTCATCACTTACATGACAAAATAAAAACTTTAAAAAAATATTTGAAATATTATGTGTGTGTGGCAAAACCACACATAACAAAATAGCCATCGGAAATTTATAACGAGATATGATATTTTTTTATATACACACAGACACTGTACGATGTACTGAACGACGTTACATTATTTTGTGATGATGATGGAAAAATGATTACATTATTTGTTGTTATTTGTGACAAATAATATACGTTAGGTTTTGAAAGAAAGAAAGAAAGAAAAAAATTTGAATTTGAATTTTTTTTCCCGTTTTGTTTTGTTTGGTTTTGGTTTTGGTTGTTGAGCTAAATTTAGAATTCATTCATTCGAAATTCACTTGTTTTGTGTGTTTGTAAGCAATCAACAACAACAACAACAAGCACTGTAAGCAAGCGGGGGCGGAAAATCATATTTGATTGTGGTGGGTCAATCTTCTATTCTTTCATTTTGCTATACATTTGATGATAATCATATTTTTATTAGATCGAATTTGATTGAATTGAATCCTGTTTTCATCTTTTCTTTTCTTCTTTATTGACATTCTTTGATTTTCGTTTTTGAATTGAATCGATTTTTTTTTCATCATCATCATCATCATCATTATTTCTTTTGTTTTGAAAATTGAAAATGATCCGTATATGTACAGGTGATTGAAAAATAAAAGTTTTTTAAAAAATGAAAAAAAAAATGTTTGAATTGTAAGTGAATTTAGAAGTTCTGTTTTGTATGTTGTTCACGGTTAATTGAGTAATCAAATCGCAAGTTTTTTTTTCGGAAATAAAATTTCCAAAACCCGATTTAAATTCAATAGAAATATAGCCATAATAATAATGAATGTTAAGCCAAAATTTCATATGTTAGTTCTTCTGGTGATTTTTTTGTTTGTATGCGTTTTACCAAATCGATTACATTTTGAAACAAAAATCAGAAAAAAAATTTGTTTATCCAATTCGGAATTGTTTGCCGAATGATTGATCATTCGTAACTAACGATTCGAAAAAATAATGTATTTTTTGTTTGTTTGTTTGTTTTTGCTTTTGTTCAGTGATTGATTTCAAACCAATCGATTCATTTGTTTAATTTTAATTTTAAAATCAATTGAATTAAATTGACAAATACAAATTTCTATGAGAAATTAATTAATTTATTAGAATTTCCGGCTGTAATCCGTTCGTGAGAATTGTCTCGTTTATTTTTTGCTCGTCTATTATCACCAACATGACAAACAAAAAAAAATTGAATTTTAAAATGCAAATCATTTGATTGTAAAACTTGATTGAACATTGCCATCATCATTATTATTATTGTAAGCATTATTTTTCACTAATGTGATTATTACCATTTAACATGCAACCACGAATTATTTGACAATGGATTTATGTTTGAAACTAAAAGAGCAGGAAAAAAACACGAAGCGGATATAAATTGTGTGTATGTTCGACATTATGGAACTATCATCATATGTCAAAAGTCATTTGTTGTTGTTTTATTTTGAAAATTTTGACAACCAAAATGGGATAAATAGAAATGAAATGAAAAAAACAAATATTCACCAGTTTCTTCATCTATGTGATTAGACATTAAAAACAGAAAAAAATAAAATTCAAAAATAAAACATCTAAAAGATCTAATTATATAATGATGTTTGGTGGATAATGTGCACAAGGAAAGCCAATTCATGTTTTCATTCAATTCTAATAGAACAAATAAAAATTTAAAAAGAAAAACTTAAAAAAAAATTTCACTATTATAATATTGGTCAAAACACATACCGGGTGAATAAAAATGGACGACGACGAATGAAGACGAAAATGAAGAAATTTTTTTCGTTTGCTACCGGTCAACATAAAATATTCAACAAAAAAAAAAATTTGATTCCAACACACACAAACAATAAATGTTAATTTTTAATTGAATTTTGTTGTTGTTGTTGTTTGATTTCAAAAGCAAAAAAAAACTTTATTGAATCATAATTATTGTATGATTATGATGATAATCATAAGTGATAAATCATAATTATGATCCAAAATATAAATATATAAATATATCCATAAGATTAGATTGAAAGGATTTCATTATTATTATGATTATGATTTTAAAGTACGATGGATTTTGACGTTAATCATAATAAACCGTATCTAACCGTCCATCCATCCATCCATCCATCAATCATCATCACAACCATGTTATCCGTCATCATCAATGGAATTTTTTTTTCTTATCTCTTTCCTAGTTTCCTTTTTTATCATCATCATCATCATCATATTGAAATTGAAATTTTTTTCAAAAAAAACCGAATTTTTTTCATTTATGTTGGCCGGATATTCAACAACAATGACAACACAAAAAAACTGGTTAAAGAATAATCAAAAAAAAAAAAAAAAATGATCAATGATTATGAATGAAAATATTTTCATGACAAAAATTATGAACCATATGAACAACAACAACAA